CTACTCCAAAGAACGTGTGTTTTGCACTTTTTGGGGACCAAACAGCTCAAAACACACCTGAACTTTCTGGGGCCCTCTTACAAATGTTTCAAAGAACGTGTGTTTTGAGCTTTTTGGCGCCCAAAAACTGCAAAACACACGTTCTTTGAAACAGCCGTCCATTTCTGGGGCCTTGTTTGCAAAACACATGTTCTTTGGAACAGCCGTCCATTAGCTCCTTACAAGCTCCTTATAAGCTCTTCACAGAAATGGACGGCTGTTTCAAGTAACGTGTGTTTTTGCAGCTTTTGGGCGCCAAGAAGCTCAAAACACACGTTCTTTGAAACAGGGCCCCTGAAAGTTCAGGAGCTTTATAAGGAGCTTTGTGAGGAGCTCTTTCAGGAGCTGTATTTGGAGCTTTATAAGGAGCCTTGTGAAGAACGTGTGTTTTGCAGTTTTTGGGCGCCAAAAAGCGCAAAACACACGTTCTTTGAAACAGGGCCCCAGAAATGGACGGCTGTTCAAAAGAACGTGTGTTTTGCAGTTTTGGGGCGCCAAAAGTGCAAAACACACGTTCTTTGAATAAACCGTCCATTGTTGGAAGAAGGGAAGAAGGAAGGAAGCAGGAGAAGGAGGGAGGCCTGTTTCAAGGAAGGAAGGATCCGCTTTTTGAGCTTATCGTGATTATTATTATTTTTTCGTAGTAAGAAAAATATTTCCGAGTCGTGGTAGGAACAATTACTGTCGTGGTTGGAAAGCTGTTGTGAAGCGTGGTTGGTGCACCCCCTCAAATATTCAGACATGGCCAGCTTTGTTGGTTGAGCGTAATGTTGCCCCAAAAGTAACAATAAACCAACAGACCTCCAGGTGCACGCGCGTGCGCGTGTGGAAGCCAGAGCTCTGAATGCCTGGGGCGCAGAGTTGCAACCTCCTGAGCCAACGACCGACTTGATCCGTGACGCGTGAACACCTGCACTGAGCTCGCGAGGCGACTCTTAGGAGATAATCTTAACTTGACCTTAGTCATTACATGTCATTACCCTCCCTCCCGCTAACATGGCATTTGTAGGAGGGTACCTTTAAGATCTGTTTCCTCTTGGAGGGACCCGTCAGTTGCCAGTGGGAGAGAGGGTATGGACAGCTCGGAGCTTTTCTTTTCTTTTTGGCAGGCTGGGGAACGCCGTGTTCTCCTCCAGCGTGGCGGAGCCGCTGGCCATGGAGCTCCGCGGGCCCCCGCTCACCTCGCCGGAGCTTTCGGCGGGAGCGGGAACGGCGAAGGTGCAGGAGCCCAGGTGTGGCGTTCGCGGCCTTTCCCTTTTTTTGGGGCCGAAAGAAATGGCCATGGTTCAAAACCAATGGATCACATTTTGGGGTAGGTGCACCACCCATTTTTGAACCTATTTGAGTGGGGATTGGGATGTTCACTGGGGGTACGATTTGGATTTTGACCCATGGCCAAATGAAGTTGGTGAGTCCACTCAAGTAAATTCGTTCATTGGCCAGGCAGAATTAATAAGGCCTCCAATTGATCGCGTCCCCTGATGATTAAACCCGCCCCTATTGATGAATGATGTTCTTCAGGCAAATATCCAAGAAGCATTCATCCCGCCTTTTACTTTCACCTGACCGAATACTACACCAATACTAAACTTCAGACATCCCTTCTTAAATCTGATTATTAGGGGGTACTTGCCGCACTTCCATTGCAACTTGCCTGGCGATTGCTGTTTGTGTAACTCTCTCAAAAAAAGTTGCATACTTCGGCATTAACAATAGACGGACGCGAGTATGTTTTTAGGGATCATAACAGATTGAGTGTGTGTGCTTGATACCTTCAGATCCTCCCGTGGCTTTCCCACAGATTCTAATGACGCACTCGACTCACCGCGCTGGCGCGTCTACGTCTCATGCGCCAGGAGGGCGTGCAGAAGGTGCTGCGGCGCGCGGAGACGTTGGTGCAGGCGGAGCTGTCCCAAGTGCTGCAGGACTTTCGGAATGTGGGCCCTGGACCGCAGGCGGGAGCGAGTCACCAAGGGTTTCTCTAACATTCAGGGGACTCTAAAAGGGTTGTGTCCAATGAACGGGTTCCAGCTTGCATCCTGAAACCCATTTGTTAAAACCAAATCTAGGGTCAGAGGCATAAGGCGCCCCCATTGAAGTTTGGAGGTTGCGGGTGCTCGGAGCAGAAGGGAGCTGACATACTCCTGACTCGACAGCCTGCGTTGTTTGGTTTGTTGGTCTTCTGGCCAAGGCCGGCCAAGTTCTTTGCATGTCCCTTTCGGAAGCGCCCAGCCAGCACTATCCCAACCTGCTTTCCAACAGTGTGGTTCAAACAGGCCGAGGCTTTGGAAACCCCGAGCTTTTCCTCAAAGAAACACCTTAGTTTAATGCAATATTCTTCCTTTTCTTGGCAGCTCCCAGCCATCTCCTTAGTTTCGCTTTTCAGTGTTTCGTGTGGATTTCCATTTCACCCAAACGTGTGAAACCTGCGGGGGGATCTGAGCCCTAGGGGAAGCGGGGCTGGAGCTCCCGCAACGAGCTCAGCCTGCGCTGCGGCCTCCGCAGCCGCCGGCTGCTGGAGGCCTGCGCCCTGCTGCGGGCCGCCAGCGCGGAGACCGCGGCGCGCGGAGCCATGGGCCCTCTGCAGGCGGGGCGCGGAGCCAACGAGCTGATCGACGGGGCCGTTCCCCACCGTGATAGGGGATCTTTTCCCCAGTCAGAGAGCGATATGGCAAGGTGAACACAGCGCATACAATTGATTCGGAAGAGGCTGCCAGTCTTTTTTTTTACTGAAGATGTGTTGAGATGTAAGGGTCAAGAGACACAAGTCCTCAGCTTCAAGGTTCGAAATGCTGGTTTTGGTGTCCTCAGGTCCTAGGCCTTGCCTGCCATTTGCAGAACTGCTTGCAGCGCTGCCGCAACCTCGGCGCGAGTGGCCCAGGCCGGGATCGCTTTTGGAATGCGATGAAGCCAGTTGATGTGCATTTTGCGTTTTCCCTGGGATGTGAGTGTCGAAGACAGTCATCTTGGATTCTATAAGGTTCATTAAAGATTGGACCAGAGTCAAACAGTTTGTTTCTGTGGGTGGCAAAGACTGAGGTGCACTTGGGTGGAAATAGAATGATGTCGGCATGAGTTCATGGTCGTGTTCAAGATGAATGCCACCACCTCATGATTAAAACAATGGGTTGCAACAGCGCAGGTTACCTGGACCTTCAAAACAGTATATTGCAGTTGTTGGTTCAGCAACGACCGGAGCGCATGTTGTCTTTGCCTCCCCGACATGTTGGTATGATCAGTCAGCCTGGGAAGACTTGCCAGTGCGAAAGGCCACCATTTTCCCCCAGCAACACGCAGGTTTCAAGCGGCCTGGCCATTCTACACTCGGATTGAAGGATGCTGCTTTGCACATGTCCAAATAAGTTTTATCTCTGCGCTTGAAGAGCAGCTGTGGATGTTGTTTTTGCAGGTTGTGGGACCTTCCAGGCATTCTCTGTAAGAATCCAAAAATCCAATGTTTCGTGTCGGGTTGCCCCACGAACAAATAGGACAATTATGTTGCGTGACTTCTTTGCCTATGCCCTTCATTTGAAGACATGCAGCTCAGCCGCATCGCTGGCGCCAAGGGGAGGCCAGTGCTGACTCAGCCGGTAGCGACGCGCACGCGCCCGCCCGACAATTTCCCTCGCATGGGGTGGTATCGGAGCGATCGAGGCACGATGGGGCGAACAGAGAGTGTGGCTGTTGGTCAGCATGGCTCAACTGTGGTGTAGCAAGAAAGTGACCCTGCGCCTTTGCGGTCTCGGCATGTGGCTTTAAATTCACGCATGCCTGCTCACACCCCGTTGACCGAAACAGCTTGGCTTGCAGTACTCATATCCCGCGCCAAGGGGAGCCCACGGCGTTGCAAAGCGACGACTGAACGGATAGTGTGTTTCTTCATCATGCTCCGGCTGTTCTTCCCGATGAATCAGTGCTATCCACCCCCAACTTCGTCTTCAGATGTGCGTTGCAAAGCACTTATGATGAAGCTCTCGCCAACGCCTCAAGAAAATGGTTGCCACACAAGAGACTTGGATTTGAAGCTATTGAAGCCAATTAGCAGCATCGCCTTGCAGGACATACAAGCAGGGGAGCTCAAAACCGGCCGCTTAGCTTGCTCGTTTCCAGAACTCCATTCCAGCATCCTTCAGCCGAAACTGATGGAAGCTTGTGGGCAGCTTGGGCGTTTCTGTGTGCGGAACTGACAACATCTGCAGACGGTTGGTTTGCTCATGCCTTCTTTGTTCTTCCATTTGATTAAACATATTTGTTTATTTTCCCCTGATGGTTTTAAACGAAATCTGTCACTACTGGAAATACTTTTATTTTTTTTCCTGGGGACTTAAGCAAATGGAAGTGTTCCATTCAAGCTGGGGCGTGTTTGCTTTTGGAGGCGCCGAACAGATGCCATGCCGCTGATGCCTGCTGCGATGAAGCAGCGGTCCCAATCGGCGCCGCCCAAATTTGGGCAAGAGACTTTGGCTGCAGAGGTCAGGCTCAGTGAGATTTAAGTCACTGATACGGGTCATTTCGGGACAAGCATCAAAACCCAAACCATCTGTAAGAGCTATTGACGATTGCCTCATGCCGACATGATTTAGTTTGTTCAAGATACCAGACCTTGAGATCGATCTTAACACCTAATTACAAGATTCACTTTTCCTGTTCAAAAGCGGCTGCTCCAGTACGTCTGTAGGTAGGAGGAGCGTGCGTTTCATGGAGAGTGATTCCCCTCACCGCAAAGTGTCATAGGGGTTTGGGCATAAGGAGGCCAAGGAGGAGCCCCGGTACCGCAGCCAACGAACAGAGTCGCTGGATGATTCATCCCTGGGCCCGCTGCTGCACTTGAGCCTGCCCAAGTTGGCCAGCCTGGCCAGCCAGGCCCCACGGATGATTCTTGGATGACTTGACTCAATGTTTCTTGTATCGGCTAGTCACCGAGAAAATGCAACTGACTTTTGAGATAGACTCATAGACCATCCCAGGATCATGAAGAGGGCATATGCCACTTTGCTGGGCGAGAAGGGCGTGACATTTCCCACTGTCCCAAGCGAACGCAGCCTCGCTGACGCTGGCAGCGCCGCACTTCCGGACGAAAGGTGGACTGGCCTTTGCGAGGAGCCCCGGAAGCTCTTGGAGGGTTGGGGGCTGCCGGAGCCATACGACCTGAACGTGGCTGAAGGGATCAAGGGCATGGCAGTGCCTTTGTCGGACACCGACGACGTCGGGGCGCTCATCGCCCATGCTCTGCTGTCCCCCGATCTCTGGGAGCAGCTTCGAGGCCGATTGCCGCACTGCCAAGGCGACTGCTTTTCCTCCGCCCGAAGGGACTTTGACCTGGCGGCGGAGATGGAGGACCCAGCTATCCATGTACCCATCGAGGCCCATTTTCTGGGCGAGGGAAGCGGCATGCAGCGCTGAAGCTTGCCCTGAGACGTTTCTCCATTGGAATTGGAGGAATCCCGTTTCCCCTTTTCATCCCGTTGGCTTCCCAAAAGGCCGACTGCAGCCCGTCACATCAAAGCTGACACCTAATTTTTGAGCAGTCTCTCTTATTTCGAACACAAGATGACCTATGACCTACCCATGACTGGCATGAGACACAAGATGACCTACTGTGGATGGACGAAATCATGCACCACCTAAGAAACCCTGATTTCTGATGATTCCCATACAAATACCAAACAATGGTTTCCCCTGGTTTTCACTGGTTTCCCCTGGCTTCTTAGGTGCCGCGAGATTCGGATTTCGCAGCCCTCCACACGACGACTCGTTGCTAGGCCCCGGACGGCCCCTGGACGGTGCAGCTGCTGGCGCCGGGCCGGTTCCACCTGCTGCGGCACCTGGCCTTCGGCCAGGACGCCGCCTTCTGTGCGGCGCTCAAGCGGACCTGCGCGGTGAAGACGGCGGGGGGGACGCTCGGTTCTGGAAGAAAGACACCTTAGTTGCCCCATTTTCCCTTGTTTTGCCCCTTTAAACTCAAGCGACAAAAAAAGGGTGCCCTTTTTTCCCATGGCCACTGGGCATCTGAGAGACCATAAGACACCCCGGTCACCTTTGTAGGCAAGGCTTGCTCTGGTTGTTTCGGTTCTTAAGTTGTTTTTAGTTTGTTCAGATGTGTTTTGTTTTGTTGTTTGTTGGTTGTAGTTGTTTCCTGTTCCGTCGTTTTGAGTTGAACCGCCCTGGCATGAGTTAGTTGGACTCGATGAACAAGGGGTCTGTCCTTCAATGTCAAAAAAGGCACTAGTAACTGGTAGTTGCCATTGGCTGATTACCTACTGCAATGGTCACTGGGTTGGTACCAAACAAGTGGCGCACCCTGCCGCTTTGTGTCACGGGTTGCAAAGGAAGAGTCGCAGCGTCTTCTGGCGCTCCCAGTGTGGACAGCTCATCCTGAAGGAGGGGCTTCTATGGCAAAGAGACTGGCGAAATGACCATAGAACATCCATAAGCTGGTGAAAGAGGGCAACGAAAAGGACACCAACCACCACCTGGAGGTTTCCCCAATTTTGAGCGATGTCCAATTGGCAAAAGATCCGCCCTGAACAGACTCCCCGACTTCAAGCCATTCAAGCTTGAGAAGCAAAACCTAACTTAAAGTGATTCGGGCTGAAGGTGTAAGCCCGCGTAACATGCGCTTTACATCTGAAAGGCGTAGTTCGAGGCGCGACATTCGGTTAGACTTGCAAGTCTCTCTGCGTCAACCCATGCCTTCCAAAACCTGATTTTGTTTGCTGCCCACCAAATGGGTCCCTGCTCAGATGGCATAGCTAGAGCAGCAGTTCAGAACTTGCGTGACATAGGTGCACCGGCTGAGTTACAGCTACGGATTCAACAGTGTTTGGGTCTTCTCAGTGTAACAACCTCAAAACTATTTACTTTTTTTTACCAAGTCTAGCTTGAGAGGAGAGATGGCGCACTGAACATGGTGTAGGTCTGGTTTTTCGGGTTCCCTTTTTCAAAGCCAAAGTAGAAAACCGGCCCTTTCCTTCGAGGAGGTGCGGCCGGCGGAAGCAGATCACCTGGCAGAGGTGGCGGCGCCTCTGGCGGTGAGGCTGGGGGAGGCGCTGAAGGGCGAGCCCTCGCTGCTCTGCGAGGTCTTTGGCCTCTTCAAGGCCCAGACTGCTTGCTCTAGGCGGTAGGTCCCTGCCTGGCTCACCTACTGGGGGCCGTTTTTAACCGTTCTTGGGGGAGGGTCGATTTCTAAAATAGGCTACAGGGAAAAAAGAAGAAGTTACCCTTATAGCCGTCTGGCCCACAGCAATGCGGCTGAGGGAGTAGTGCCCCCACGCCTACCCTTCCAAAAGAGGGTCCAGCGTCTAGCAGCCATGGCTGCAGCACCGCCTTGTCCTTCTTCGTGCCGAAGTAGGGGTTGGGATCGTGGATGTGGTTTGATGTGGTGCTACGCTTCTGCGTTCCTTTCTCTGGTCTTCTTCCTCTTCGTGGGCGGCTTGGGGCTGGGCTCGCCCTTTTTCAGATGCTCGGCTTCTTGCAGGATGGCTTGTGGCTTGTTGTCTTGGGATGGCTTCCGGCTTGTCATACGGGAGTGGTTTGCTGCATGCCCGCATTCTCTATAGGGGGAATGCGTCCTGTTCTTCGTCTACTCCGGCCCCCTCATGGCGGCTTTCTACCTGGAATCCATGGTTTTCTTGGTTTGGTCTCCTTGCGCGATGTGCCCATCCCTGCGATGGGGATGGGCCCTGTTTTGTGGCCCCCTCCCTTCACTGCATGGTGGCGATTTTCTGTCCTACGTGCCGGGTGCAAACCTCATTGTCCCTCCCCGAGGATCCACTCTCGGCGGGTATCAATACTTCGTGGTGCTGTTGCTGGCCTTGGTGTTTCAGTTTTTCGTTACTTTTTGGGCGAGGCGCCTTCGTTGCATGGACCTTTGCCGGAACTATCTGTACCATTCCGGCTCCGGGCTTTGCTTGCCGCTTTGCCGTGGGTGTGTGATTTGGGCATTCCACCCCATCCTCTTGAAGCCACTTCCGGGCAGCCTATTTGTATCAGCACGGGCGATGGTTCCGCGTACCAGCATAACGCAAAAAACAAATGCAGCTAGGTTCTCCAGTAGAAAGGTTAAAATAAGGGTACCCTTCTGGCACACGGCGCCTCGTCGCTGTGAGACGCTGGTCACAGGGGCATGCCGCCCCAGGACCTGTAGAAGAGAGAACAGGGCGTCCTTCCAAACACCGCCCAGACCAAGTGGGGAGCAAAGCACCATCCCACAAGGTCCAGGGTGAAAAGGCAGAAGACACCAAGAAAAAGAGGCCCACAGGCCTAGCCACGAAGGGCAAAACGTGAAACTGAAACTCTGCGAACGGTGCAAAAGCCTTCCCAAATGGGGTATAGGTTGGCTGCCCGAAATGTCCCAAAGTGCCCAAAGTGCGAGAAGGGCAGGTAGCCAAAACTGCATGCTCCCCGTTGAGGGAGAGATAGGGGGCCCCTGCGCGAGGTTCAGAAGTTGGGCAAGCAGCCACGAGCCATCATCGTCATGCGGAACCTGCTGCACGGTACCGAAGGTCGCGGGATGGCCGGGGGGGCGGGGGTATGAAATGCGGCATGGTCACCAGTTGTTGTTGCCGGAGTCACTCGGATGATCTAGTCGTTCTTCAACAAACAGGCTATGTTTCACTTCGTTGGGAAATTCATGTTCGAGGAAGCAAGATCATCCCAGATAGGAGTTCCGATTTTGGCATAGATGACCATTTGGAGTGCCTGAAAGTTTAGCCTTTGAGCAATCAGAGCGGCAGAAGGAAAGCAGAATTCTCCGTAGTTGATAGTGTTGACATAAAATGTGAGTTCCTAGTGCGTTACCTGTTCCAAGTCATCGGCCCAGTCAAGGTCCCAAATGGTGAACCTTTTAGTTCCCGGCCATTTGGGCAACAGAGTGGCACAACTTGGCTCCTGCAAAGCAGAACCAAACATCTATGGAGGAACTTGTTATTATGGACTGCGGCAACTTTGAAATTTGATTCCCATTGCAAACCGAGCGTACTTTGCAATCAAGCCGACGCTGGTTTCGGGGGGCCAGACCCTGGCCCCTCCACAGGAGGGGACTGGCAGATTTTCGACATCAAGGGCGTGGGGTCACACCGAACCCTCTTGAACAATGAGGAGCAGAAGGCAGGGGGCACCTGTGCACGTAACATGGCAGGGGGGCAGCCCCCTGAGACGTTCGACATGCATTAAATGTGGAATTACGCAAAGTGCTTGAATGATGCTCAGGCAGAACTTCAGAATGTTTACTTGATGCTAAGAATGCCGTATGTGAAATTCTGAAGTATCTTCGCAGCCCTTTTGGGGAACACGGCAACGACGCCATGGCAAGGAGCACAACATCATTCACTTGGCACTGGCTGTGAAGTGCCTTTGTGTATGTGTTGCCATTTTGTCTGCCTTGCTTTTTGTGTATGTGTGTTTGCATGTTTGACAAGGGTCTTTGAGAGGTGAAATGGGATGGCGGCTTTGTGGACACCTTTGATGCGCTGCCGGTTGTCTTGCGGGCTGCCGACCAGGACCCGGCCGGCTTGCCTTCTGCATCTTTGTGCCGTGGGCACCCTAGACATGTGACACGGCAGTCTACGCATAACGGAGCTGATGTAATCTTGTCTGAATGATGTCAGAGACTTGCTTGCGTTGGCGAGCTTAGCTTGACGGAACCAGAGATCTCATGTGGACCTGAGTCTATGCGAAGCAAATTCGACGGGTGCCGTCTAATTGTGCTTACTTTCCCCTTTGTCAGTATGGGTCCCCTTCAGTGTCATTTTAAAACAGGTCAGAAAGAGTCCCTTGCTTTGACCCCGAACAGCTGGAGACACCAGTTCTTTCATTAGCGGCTGGCGGCAGTCCTTTCTCCGGCCACCTATCGACTAAATGACGCGGCAGATTCCGCTCTGCCTGTGCTGCTGACCATTTGCAAGGGCAACGCCAACTGGAATTGTTCTTCGGTTGTCCCGCCCCTCGGCAGAAATTGATACAATATGGCAGGGTTTGAGCCAGCCGCCTTTTTAACCATTCTTACTCCACACTCTTAAGCTGAGTATGATTGTTTCCCTTTAGTAGAAGGCTGCAGCTAATCACTTATTCAAGCCAGCACAGTCCTAAAGAACAACGCTTGCAAAGCAGATGATATATTCGGTGTTTTTCCTCTATGTGTTCCTGTGTTTGCGTTTGGTTTCTCGGATGTTCCACAACATTGCCAGGCTTAATCACCGTTTGCCCCTTGCCTTTTGAGTTCCCTTCATTTGTCCATTCGAGCGTGTCCTATGTCTTTGACTGCTGTGTTTCCTGTTTGTTTCCTTCAAACGCCACTATGTGTCTTAAATATGGGACCCCTACAGTGCTTGGTTTCCTGTTGGCTTCCCTCAAAACCCACCCCAAGAAGGCTCCCAAGGAAAAACAGGACACCCACCGACACCCCCGAAACCATAACTTTGAGGGGCTTTGAGTTTTAGCCACAGACCCCACCCCCCCCACCCCACCCCCACCCCCACCCCCACCCCCACCCCCCCCACCCCCACCCCACCCCTGCGTCGCGTCGGCGAGGAGAGCTTGGAGCTGGCCCTGAGGTGCGACCTGCGGGTGCTGCGGGACCTGGGCCTGGTGGACTACTCCCTGCTGGTGGCCTACAACGAGAAGGCCAGAAGCGAAGCCGGGGAAGAGCGGTTCAACCAAAACGAAGGATGAAGGATGAAAAAATAGGAAAAGGAAGACGAGGAATGAAGGGAAATGAGGATGGAATGAAGGGAAATCAAGAAGAAGTTGATATTCACAAAGCCTTAAGGCCGCCTTCTCGTTCCCAGAGATACGGAGTCAGATGGCCAGGAGCTTCGGATCCGGCTAGCGATCATCGACTTCCTGCAGCCTTACTCCTTCAACAAACAGCCGCTGGATCGATTCGCCTGAGTTTGGATATCCCCTGAAAGGAAAGCTACGGGACCTACACATTTTGACCCCGGGAGGAAGCCGTTTTTGACGAGTGCGCAAGGCGCAAGTCGGACGAGACGAGCATGGCTGTCTTGCACAAGACGGTTGCATTATGTTGCTCACTTTTTTTTGATTATCACTAGCCATGTTGCTCGGACAGAACATTGGTTCCCTATCATGCAGGTTGTTGTCAATGGCAGGCTTGGCTGGTCAGGTTGGAATCTACAGTGAAGAAGCTCGTCCAGAGGCATGAGCCCACCATCGTTGAGCCGGTGCCAAGGCGGCAGACAAGCGCGCAATGCTGCACTGGAAGTGAGCCTGGGATGGACACCCACTATGACATTTCTCGGGCACCCACTGGAAGCCCTTTGAAAGTGACCTGTGGTAACAATGAAGTGGCCCTTTGCATTCCTTGGCACATTGCTACACGAAAAATATCATCATAAATGATAAGGTTTATTATTCTATTAGTATTAGTATTGCTAGTATCATTAGTATTACTATGATTAGTATCATTATGATTTTACTATTAGTAATATGACTATTGTTATTGTTACATACTTTTTTTATACATACTATTATTATTGCATAGTATTACTATTGTTATTGGTATTGTGGTTAGTAGTGTTGTTATGATTATCATTATTGCTATTTTTTTACTATTGTTATTATCATAATTATTACTATGATGTATATCTCGTATTGTGCATTATGTAGTACGTATTAGGTGTTATGAATCATTTTTCATCGCTCCTTTCTTCTGTCGCTTTATTATTTTGTTCAGCGCTACCCAAGAGGTTGCAAGAAACAATTTTGATAGTTCCAGTACCCTCTTACCCTGTGCACGAGTGTGCGAGTATCGTGAACTGTACGACAGTGCGAGTGGACTGTGCGAGCATGCGAGTGGAACGGGCAAGCGAGCGGACGAGTGGACTCGGGCGCATTACTCGCACGCTTGTCACTCGAACACTCGCACGCTCTACTCGCAGACTTCACTCGTGCTCTCGTCAAAAAGCCACTCGTGCACTATTTGGCAAATGTGCCAACAAAACTCTGTACAATCTTTTGGCACCAGCTAAGTTATTGTGATGAGCTATTGCTATTGTTCGTATTGTACGCCTACCTGGGGAGTCTTTGTCAGTTGGGATGTTTTGAGTGGAAGCGATTAAGGCGCAGTACGCCAAGCGGTTCCAAGAGTTCATCCGCAACGCATTTCAAGATGCGGCGGCCTCAGAATTCTCAGCATGGCTCATTGCCGACATGGAAATGAGTTTTTTCAGGATTGCCTTGAGCTCCATGCTTGCATGTTGGGGGCAATGTGTTCTTGATATCCTTGACAGGGTTGTGGAAACCAGGGGAAACCAGGGGAATCAGCCACTTGCTTGCAAAAGCCTTTTTGTCATCCATGACAGCGGAATGTACGCATGAGCTTTGTGCAAGCTCTGAGCACATGAACCAGTGTACAGAATCACACACGCAACGACCCAATATGTGGTGTCTCGGCACCTTGATGCTCCACCAAGCATGTGGCCGGCCAGGCCGTTGGATGACAGGGCGACATGGTCAAATCACGTGCTTGCAAAGCGATTCAAGCATTTGTACAGCGCGATCCAAGCACAGGCCTCAGCAATGTTCTGAGGAAGCATCGGTTGCATAGCCAATCTACGGCAGGCCTTGTTTAGCCTGTTGAATTTTGGCTCTGCATTTTCGACCCTTCCTTACAGATGTGAAGTGCGCTCGCATTCAGTCCGTCTCACCCTGCCGCAAAGCCGGTGTCATGGCCAGCTCCGAAAGGAGCTCCAATTACAGGGTGGCCACGGTTCCAGTCGCTTCGGTTTTCAGAATTCTAGTCTTGTGGAATGGTTTTCAGTTAGTGCCCGCTTATTTGGTCTCGATGAGTTGTTTTTTCTCCGGTGAATCTAGCTGCAGTGTATCCACTGCCAGCGCAGCGGCTTCCCGCCAGCTTCACCTTCCTAAAGCTTCCAACTTACCCTACAGTGTCTCGGCCCTCCAGCTTCAACAGTTTCGGTTGCTCAACGGTTCTGTTCAAAGACAACCGCTTCGATTTCTGAAACAGGTCGGTTCCTATTGGTTCGGTTCCACGATGTTTGGTGTTCGTTTCGGTTTCCGGACTTCCTGCGATGGTCACAGGCATAGCACCCTTTGGAACCAGGTCTTGATTGCAGTTGTTTTTTCAGTTTCTGCCATCGCTCTTTTGTAAAGCATCCATGTTTCACGTCAGTTTTCTGCAAAGGCTGGATCCTGGGCAAAAGAGGGATCATAGATCGAAAAGTTCTCAGCGGAATCACCTAACCTGGCTGGCAGGTGGAGTCCCTGGCTACGGGCGAGCCCAAGGTGAACTACAGAGAGCTGGAGCCTCGGGTCCTTTCGAGGCTTCAGCAAATTGAAGGTGCCGGAAACGAGCAGAGGCCACTGAGAACTGGGGCGAGATTTGTTTTGGAGGCCGGGAAGAGATTGTCAAAGCTATGGCAGGCGTCTTTCAGAGTGCAACATGTGCAGAAAGCAAACTTGTCTTTGGTTGGTGCGAATGTCCAAAATCAGCAGGCAGCCGAACCCCTCGAAAGCATTCAATTCGACGCAGGCCAGGAGACAAGGCACACAGATTCTTGATCTATCTTGATCGCATCTCCTTCTTCGTGCCAGGGGGGGCAGGCAACGTTGCAGGCAGAGGTGAAGTCAGCATCTAAGGACCGAAACAAGAAACCCATGACAAGAAGGTTCGCATTCTCCCAAGGATTGTCAACACATCTAGGGGACCCTTGAAGAAGGGAGCTGAGTGCTTGATGTCTCGTTATCAGTTGGAGCTACATTTCTAATTTGAGAATGGTTTTGCTGGGATTTCGTCAGGCTTGGACATGTGCCAGCCTGGCGAAGGCTGTCTGCAGGCGGACTTTGTAGGGACAGGGCGCCACATCTTCAGCATCTCATGCCATGTCTCGCACCTTGCCCCCGATTTCCAAGGACCATCACCATGAAGACGCCTTATGAGTACACTCATAAGCGCCAATCAGGAGGTCGCGGCCAATACGGCAAGGCGGGGTTGGAACCGAAACCGACTGTGCCGCTTGATCAGTCACTCGGTGTTCCTTTTGGGGAGCAAGTGGATCGACTGCACTCGACACAATCTAAAAGACAGGGCGGCATGAAAATGAAGGATGTTGGACCCTTTTGAATGACCCCCTCCTTCGAGCAGTGCACGGGGGTGGATTGGACTTGGGGCTTGCCAACGCATGATTTAGCATTGCCATTTCTACATAGTGTATTGCAAGTACATAGACAACTTCGGTGTATAGTTTTAGGTTCGCAAACAAAAATAGATATTGCCAATTCTATTGAATGAAATACTAGCACTAATAGATTAAGTATTACAAAAACAGTATCTTAAGTCTCCAGTGCGTAGTTGAGTATTTGCAAACATAGGTTCAGTATTACCAATGCTTAGTTTAGTATTGCCAATACTTAGTCTTAGATTGCCAGTACTTGCTACTTGTTTAGTATTGTTTGAGCTGGGAAAGGCTTAGATGAACCACCCTTTGTCAAGTACACGGCTAAGTCTGTTATCTTGGAATTTCACCCCCCCTAAAGGCTTGCCATGAAAGATGACCCCACCACAGTCTGATTAACGAGGATCAGGGGCTAGTGCGGCTTGACCTTGTTTTTTGCAACGGCTTTTATGACGAACAAATATGGTTTGGGTGCCACTTCAAAACGGGAATTCCTAGATCTACCTCCTTTGGCCTTTGAGCTGGGAAGGCTTAGATAAACCACCCTTTACTGTCAAAGTACAAGGCTAAGGATTTGATCCAGTATTTCCCCCAAACAGAAGTAAGAGTGGTTTGTTGTTTATCACCCATCACCCAGATTGTCTGTTGGAAACAACTTCCCACTATAGAGGACCCCAGAACAGTCACAGGATCCTGAATTTGGACAACAACTTTCTATAGTGGAATCCCGGCCACTCATCACATCATGTTTCCTCATTGTAGTTGCATTTCAACAGAATGATTGCTTAGCATTGGGAGAACAAGTTTGCCTCTGCGGTTTGCCAGCCTGCAGAGCGCTAATTGGAATCATGCAAGGTCATGGGATACTTTGAGCCCATTCCGGAAGAGGAGCGCGTCGATGACAAGGAGATGTAGATGCTTGCACCACAGCACTATCACATGAGCCTATTTTTAAGGTGTTGCCTCTCCCCGAAGCCCGGGGCTACTGAGAATGGTGAGCACAGCCTGCATGCTTCCAGGGTTCACCAAGGCGCAAGCGACTCACATTGTGATAGATGTTCGCCACGTGCAGGACGGCATCATTTTTCTCAACAAGCTTGTCGGTAACGATGTGCCCCCATCATATGCCGGCTCCCCGATGTGCCAGATGGTGAGCGGCCTCAAAATGTGGGTTGTTCATGCCCTGTCCTTTCACAAAGTGGAACGGCTTTTGTATCGCACGCCACAAGACAAGTACTGTGGTTTCAACTTCTGCAGTCAGGATATAATGAACCCCCCGGTAGAATGATAGGGGGTGTCCCATACAAGAGAGGCTCCCTTTTGGGGGAATTGCGGAATTCCATTGTTGTGTTTCTCTACGTGGAACGAGGATGTTGGAAGGTTGAGCTTGCTCTGTAGCGTGGAAGTACAGACATCAGTGCATGAAGTGCATGCTCAGTTGCGTATCCTGGTATCCCACACTGCGGACATATGCACCTTTCAAGGAGATATCTAGTGCTGGATCTGGAAGTGCTCCCTCAATTATAGTATGTATGCATGTCTGGAGATGTGGCTCTCTGGAAAGATAACTTCATATACGGCAGATGGAGAAATCCAGCACCACGTTGCTTGCAAAGTTGGCTTGCGAGGCATCGCCTGTGTGTAAATGATTTTAAGCCCACGTGGAAGTAGCCTTGCCCATGACTCCTTTCTTATTTGGGGGATCCCTTAGCTCAGGGTGGTGTACTGGCATTGATGTCATTGACAAAAGCAGAGGTTGCAGGGATGTGGCAGCCAGCGTTGGATCGCCTTCATTTGGGTATGGGTCAAGATAAAACCACCAGATAGCCGCAAGTTTTAGTCTTTGGTTCCATTTACCAGGGCAACCCATTTTGGGTACACAGTGTTGACCCACAGCCATTTGAGAGATACCTTTCCCCCATGCTCCAACTCTGTCAGGTGCCGGCGATTGAGAAGGGCTTCAAAGCTGCAGCCCAGTGCATGGCCCCAGTCGCCCATGAAATCCACGGCTCGGCTCGGCTCGACAGTCGTGTCTATGCCGCAAACATTTTGTTTTAATCTATGACCATAGCTGATTAGGGAAAATTCAACCGCACGCTTGGGCATGGCACTCCCAAGATGTCGGACTGATTTTCATGATTTGCAAATAGTTGAGTACTGGAAGCTGTGAACGTTGATCCCCATAATATGAAAGGGGCTTGTTGGACTATCTGGAACAGCTGGAGAATGCCTATGAAGAAACAATTTACTTGTTTTGCCTTAATCAAGTATGATAGATACATTTATTTGCTGGACTGACCAACTAGATGGGTGTGTGTGCGATCAAGCGGCACGGACTTGGGAGCACACCGAGGAAGGGCTTGCTGACCAAAAGTCCTTTGATTCACATGCGATGCGTGCCGAGCTCAGACAGCCGGTGTTGCTTTCATAGCTGCGCTTTGCACTAGCATCAAATGATGCCCTGCCGCCATGCAGGGCATGCAGGGCGTGCCTGCCCTGAGGCAGCAACGCTGTGAAGCATGTGTGCTTTGTGGACCCAGAGTATCGTGGCTCGCGTTCCGTCTACGCTTGTCACAGTCCAAATGGGCAAAACGCCTGTCCGAGGTGTTGGAAGATGGTGCCTCCCATGAGGCACGCAGGGAATACGTGGGGCGTACGTGTGCGCAGTTTGTGCCAGGGTCTTGGGGGAACGTCAAGATCCATTGCCACCATTCACGCCGCTGCCACTGTCGTCGTCGGCATCATCATCATCATCACCCTCACTATCACCAACATCGCCATCGTCATCGTCATCATCATCATCATCATCATCATCATCGTCATCACCCGCACTATCACCATCATCGTTGTGGCCGTTGTCCTCAAAATCATCATCGTCGTCGTCGCTGTCGTCGTCGCCGTCGTCGTCATCGTCATCATCATCATCATCATCATCATCATCGTGATCGTCCCTCACCATGATCATCATCATCATCATCATCATCATGGTCATCATCAGCATGATCAGCACCGTCACCATCACCATCACCATGATCATCAGTATCATCATCATGATCATCATCATCATCATCAACACCATCGTTATCGTCACCGTCACCGTCACCGTCACCGTCACCGTCACTGTCACCGTCACCGTCACCGTCACTGTCACCATCATCATTATCATCATCATGATCGTTATCATCGTCATCATCGCCCTCACTATCACCAACATCGGCATCGTCATCATCATCATCACCATCGTAATCCCCCGCACTATCACCATCATCATCGTCTTCGCGGTTGTCCTCAAAATCATCATCGTC